AGTTTTAACTTCCTAAAGGCCTGAGGTAATAGCTCCTGACAACCCGGGTCTTCCCTACCCGGTAGCCCGTCACAAATTGTGTTAATTACATTAGATTGCATTAGATTGTACATTCTTCACAAAAAATGGCTTTGTTTATATCATAGCAATACCTGTAACTTGGCCTTACTGTAAATGTGTGTTTTCCTTTCCCTCTGGGCAAAGGATTGATATGTTAATCAATGCTCTCCTCTGTAAAGAATTCTAAAATCTTACCTAATTGATATGTTAACCATTGTTGCCCTCTACAAATAGAACAGTTGTGGTGCTAAAGTAGGGTAACTAAGGTTGTTAATTGCTGTTAGACTTTTCTATTCTTTGCTAAGAAAAACAAGATTTCTTCTTATCTAAACTTGCTAGTATGCAGGGAGACTTGCAATTGCCGTTTCTGCTTTGTAGTGCGTCACACCCCCATCCCCCTCCTTACATTGTGTGACCAGCAGCTGTTTGTGGATTTACAAGATAAAAAGTCCTGACTTTTAGCTGTGAGGTGCGCAGTCTCCAAATTGGCTCCCGGATACTCGGAGACTCGTCACCAGGCCTGGATTTTACCTAATAAAGCCTTTGCTTCCCAAATTTTAATTTCTTGCTTCCTTGGATTTTATACTGGGGTCCGAGTTATCACACAGTGCAGATGGAGTTTGCAAAGCTGTACAATTGAGTAAGAATTTTGACTGATTTTTATAGTTCATTTATGATTAGCTCATTGATCATTAAGTACATAGTGATGAGAAACAGAAACAAGGTGGGCCTTTGTTCCCCTTTGCTTGAGGTCAGAGGCATTTCACAGTGGGTGGTTAGCCAGTTCATAGCCTTTAGTCTGCCAATTCCAGGAACATTTGTCTCTCATAAAGGGAACAATGGTTGACACAGCAAACAGGCTACTGGGGTGGGGGGCAACGGATGCATACAAAACAGCATGATGATGCGGTCAGTTAATTTATAACAAGTTTATAACAATGTGGTCGGTGCTCCACGTACGTGGTTACTAGGTCGATAAGCATAGAGCATAACACCCTGGGTTCAGTCCTAGGAATGTGATACTGCCAGCTGTGAGGGCACATGCCTGCAATCTCCTCTCAGCACTTAGAAGGCTGAGGCAGGAGGGTCACCATGAGTTCAAGGTCAGTCTGGCTATGCAGCGAGACTCAATTTAAAAAAATAATAATCCTGATGTGTAACAAACTTACACATTTTAGGAACAATATTTTGAGAATCATAATTTAGGTTTAACGATGCTTGGTTAGTGTGATAGCTTGATTTTAAGACTTTCCTGGCTCTCATTTCCTCCAAACCATTAAGTTCCAAGGTTCAGACTACCAGCACGTTCACTTTCCATCAGAAACACTGGGAGGGCTATCATCGCGCTGGCAGATGCAAGCTCACGAGCCACTTTCGGTCACTTCTCACTCTGACAGGGACTCTTCCGCAGTGCTGGCAGTGTGAACCTTGGAGTGGTTCAGTGGAAACACGGAAGTGTTCTAATGTCCCCCATGCGTTCTGCACACCCATGTCCTCTCTTAACTTGTGGACTCAGTTTACCACCCTGCAGTAGTCTCGACCTGTTCTGCTGGCCAGAGCTGTCTTCACACAGGACCTCGGGCACAGAGGTGCCCACTACCTCCCCCAGCACCACCAGCACCCCAGGCCTGGCTCCTGACACACCAAGGCTCGCAGTGTCTTGGTAGCATGAATGGATTTTCTGCTGCCCCTTGTCACTCAGAAAAGCTCAAGGATAAAGTGAAGAGTTTCAGGATAGTGACGACGTGGTGTTAACCCATCTGGATGGCCTTTTGGAGCGCGGACAGCGGAGCTGAGTACCCCAGGAGTCAAATACACTCCGGACTCAGCAGGTACTGTCAGCTGCAGGGCTCAGTCCTGGGTCTCCGGCCCGAGGATCGCCTGTCACTGGTCCTCAGGGCTGTCAGTCTCTGCTAGACCCCACCTAGAGTGACGAGGGGAAAGAGCCCAGGTGTGGGGCTCCCCTCTATTTAGTCCCAAATGTGGGTGATCAGACTTGGGGGAGGGGAGTTCTGTGGTGGGGCCAGGTAGGGTTTTTAAACTGTAGCCCACGACCTGTGAGGACATCCGGAAGTCAGTATGGTGGGCTGTGCCCAGCACTTGTAAGACATGAAACGGAGCACAGGTGAGACTGCGTCCTGGAGCAGGGTGAGTGCTGCTGGGCAGGGGTTTGGTCCTTGAGTCGGTGCCCGGTTCCCTGGGAAATGCATCTCTTCCTGGACCTACTTGTACAAAAGGTTGGACTTAGACAAGGATGTGACCGAGAGCCCGCCAGGTCACACCCTAGGGTACAGGCTCCTCCTGGTTGACAGGGAGCCTCCCCTTTGTCCAAGGGCAGTGCAGTCTTGCTTTGGGTCTCATCACCCCAGGGAATTGGATTCCCGGGGTACATTAACTGCACCCAGAAAGGCAGGTCTTGCAGCAGCCTGTCTGGGGTGCAGTGACCATCAGTCAGCAGCTGCATGTCAGGGAGCAGGCAGGCTCTGAGGGCTGCATTCCAGTGTCCTCTGTGTCCCCATCGCAGCGTCCTGAGGGCTTCAGCTTCCTCTAACCCTGACTCACGCCAGATTCGACCAGGGCGGAGGACAGGCTGGGGTCCTGCGGATGCCAGCTCACTGGCTGGGCATGCGCACACGGAGCGGTCCTCAGAAAGGACCCCAGGCCTGGAGCCTGCAGAAAGTGCACCTGCCTTCATCTATGCAGGGACCCCAGAGGGCATTGAGAGCCCCTTCCGTAGTGGAACACCGAGGTGTGGGGAGAAGCGCTTGCACGGCACCCCACCCCAGCTGAGGGGCCCCGGCAGTTGAGCCAGGGTGCTGGCTGCATCCTCTTGACATTCAGACCCGAAGTATGTGACCTTGCTAGTCTGCCTGCCTAGTGGTGGGTGGGGATGCGGAGGTGACAAAGGGGAAGAAGCTGGAGGTCCTGTGGCTTCGGGGACGGAGCCAAGGCTGCCTGAGGCACCCTCCTCCCCTCCTGCACCCTCCTTGCATCTACCCCATTACCTCCTGCTTCTCCTGATCTATGTTTTGTGGGGTTTTCTGAAAACACTCTGGTCCCAGGTGCCTGGAAGAAGATGCTACCCATGTGCTGTGTGTCCTGAGAGAAATCCTTGCCCCCTCTGGCACCAGCTGTCACATTGATGGAATGGAGAGGCCAAGCTAAATGAGCCCAGGGCTAGTCTGGTACCCATTTTTGGGTTGTCAGGTATGGCACAGGACACCCTACTGCATCTGAGTTCAGACACGTTTTGCCACATAAACATACCCCAGACATGGCATCCATTTACACAGTTATATGTTGGTCATCTGAAGCTTAGCTTTTTCCGGGGCCTTATAGTGTCCCTGGCTTTCCCTGCCAACCTATTCAGAGTCTCATTTGGACAATCTGTGTGTTCTTGGTGACCTGTCAAGGCAGGCCAGACAGGTCCTAGGGCGGCTCTGGAGGAGCAGCCAGTCTAGGGGTGAGGTGGAACATCCAACACAGAGACGGACAGGAGGTAAGAGGAAGGATGGCTGAACAGGAGCAGGGTGGCACAGAGGAGCTGGCCCTGAAAGAGAAGGATGCCCCTTCTCCTCCTCTGATGGCCCCGAGGCTGAAGCAGAGAGCCAGGCTTTCCCTGACCCAGCCAAGATGGAAAGTAAAGCCAGCCCTTTGCTCAGGCACCACCACCAAAGACCAGGCCTCTCTACCCATCTGTGCAGGGCCCGGTGTGCCACACATGTGGAACGACCTGCGGAAAGTTCCTGGTGCAATGCAGACTTACATGGCCCTGCTCTCTGCCTGCCCTATACTTTTCTGTTCCCTTTGTCTCTCACCCAACCCAAATTTTGCCTAGGGCAGCCACAATGTCAGCTAAAACTACATGTCCCAGCCTCCCTTGCAGCTGGGTGCAGCAAAGTGCCACCATTGCAATGCAGTGTGCCTTCTGGTTGGTGCCTTCTGGAAGCTCTTTACAAGGAGGCGGGGTGGTGGGGCACTTGCATTTTTCTGTCCCCTTTGCCTCCACGCTGCCTGAAGCACAGAAGTGGTGCTGGAGGTCGGGCAGCCATGCTGGGGGCTGGGCATAAGAACACCATACACCAGGGGAGCTATGTTGAAGGCAGGAGTGCCTGGCTCCTCCTAGCCTGCACTGCTCACTGCTGGGCTTTCCTTATGTGGCTCTGTGCTCTGACCAGGCCTCTGCTGCAGTCCCTGCTGCCCACACCGCTGTGCTGTGCAGGAGCCACCCGACCCTCATCCTGTTTCACAGTTGCACGCTCATTTGTGATGGCATCCTTTCAACAGAAGGCGCTTGTGCTCACCCCTGGACACCCCGGCCAGCCCTCACCCACCCTGTGCACACCTGCTGCATCTGCCTGGCCCAGGGCTTTCCTGGCCTGAGCCCACTTTGCCCGAAGCCTGCAGGTTGGAAGTAGAAAGAGGGAGCCCTCATCCCCCTTCTCCAATAGAGACTGTGGGGGCAGGGCAGTAAATGCCCCAGCACCTTGACAGTGGAGGCCCCACACTGGTGCCGGCTCCTCCCAGGGCCAGCTCTAGCCTGGATGACCCACCCTGTGTGGTTGTCCTCCTTCTGGATCTTCCTTCCTGGAGTTGCCTCCAAAAGAACCCACTTGCCTGCAAATCCTGCTTTCAGGGTTGGCTTCCAGAGGACCCCACTGGAACATGTTAGGAGCCAATGAGAATGGGGGACTGTCTTAGAATCCAATGGAGAAAACCAAAGTGTCCCCAAGTCCCTGAGCTGGATTGTAAGAGGAGGGGTGGGTCAAATTCACAGCCCCAGAAGCCACAGCCAGAGGTGTTCCTGGTTCCCCGCGGCTGCTCAGCCCAAGTGCCTACTGAGGGAGACCACTGGAGACAGACAGCACTCCACCCAGGTCGTGGGTCACTCTGTGGACTTGGTCTCCTTCCTCGGACAGACACAGGACACAGGCGAAGGCTGCTGCTCACATATAGTTTATTCCTCTCTGCCTGACTGTCCCTCTGAGGCCCTGAGACCTTCTGCCCTCTCCCACCGGGGTGCCTGGGGCACATCCTGGGGTCCCATGGGTGCTGCCCTGGGACTGGGCTTCATGCTGCAGAGTCAGGAGGGGAGCAAAACAGCACAGGACCATGCACAAAGGACCCTGCTCATTAGTCCCTGCTCCTGTCCCCAGTGGTGCAAAGCTGTCATGCTCTGCAGCTGGGACAGAGCTCAGAGCCCTGCTGTGACTGCGTTTGGAAGGATGAGCCCTCCCCACACCCCTCGGGCCCAAAGCGAAGGTGGCAGGAGAGTGTCACCCTGCACCCCTGAGTGACCCGGGTGCCACCCCTTTGAGCTCTGTGAGCTCACAAGGCCCAGTCCAGGGCATGCAGGTGGGAGTTGCTCAGAGATGCACGAACTGAAGCGGGTGGGGCCTCGAGGGCACAGGAAGTAAGTGATTGGAGTCGAGAAGGAACGGGAGCCAGGGTGCTTGTTGGACATCACTGAAGGCGTCCAGAGGGCCGCTTCTTCCACATTGCACAGGCCCAGTCCGGCTCCAGCACCAGAAGGACACTCACAAAAGCACACCTGGGTGACAGCCAGCCCCTCCTGGCATCCCACCTGTCCCCAGAGTGCCCAGGGTCACCACTGCAGGACACAGAGCTGGGTCTCAGAAAAGAGACCACAGCACCCTGACATTTTCCATGCCAGGGGTCCTCATCTCTGCAGCCCCAGCCTGGTGCCCAGCTTTGGGCTGACACCCATGGTCACTGCACTGGGGAGGACCTATCAGTGCTGTTACCGCATCCCTAGCAGCCAGTGTGAGCTGGGATGCATGGGCCACGTGGGATGTTTGTTGAATGAAAGAAAGAAAGAATGGCCACATATGTGGGCCAGAGACTGGACAGATAGGAGTCTCGGCCAGGGCTTCCTGAACCACAGGGAAGAGGAGGGCAAGCAGGAGGTGGTCAGTGCCCGCATGTCCGGCTCACCTGTATCCGCCGCCTGCAGGCCGAAGCAGGACAGCAGCAGCAGCAAGTTAAGGTTCTCCAGCTCCTTCTGCAGCACCAGCCCGCACGTCCGCAGCCCGGCCAGCTCCACCTCCAGTCTCTGCTGCTGGCTCTGCGTGCGTGGGGCCAGGGCACAGGCAGACAATGGGCAGATGGGCGGACAGGTGGACAGGAGGATCCAAACGTGACAGGGGAGGCAAGCAGACAGGGGGTCAGTACCCGAGACACAAGCAGGGAGTAAACTCTGAATGAGGAACTGCAGAAGTGACGGAGCAGCACAGGACAGCTCGGTGGTTAGGTGAGTAGACAGACAGACAGACAGACAGTAAGTGGGTCAGCAACAGAGGCCTCGAGGAGGCAGCCAGTGCGGGCTGGAGGAAGGCTCAGGGGCTCAGGAGCCACCTGACTTCAGCTCCACTTGCAGAGCCTCAAAGGCAGACATGGGGGACCCTAATCTCGGGGCCGCCCTGGGATGATCACAGCCTATAGGCTGGGCTCTCGAGAACCGGCACCTGCTGGGCCCTCCCCGCACACCACCTCTGCCCCCCACCCCGTCATCCTGGGGGTGACAGAGTTGCCTCTGGGGGCTCAGCCAGGTGGAGCATCGTGCTAAGAGGGTGACAGACCCTGAGGGACGTGGGGAACAGGGTCTGCTTTTTGGCTTAACATTCAGGCAGTGCTCCTCTGCTTTCTTTAACAAGCGCAGGGGAAAGAGTGAACCATACTCTGGGAAAAGGCTTCCCACGGAGTCTGGAGCACACAGAGGTCTTCGATGAAGGGGCTATTAGGGGAATGTGACCAGGTCATGCTCCAGAGGAGTGCTGGGTGCTGGGTACTTGTCAGGTACTGTGCTGAGTACTCATGCGAGCCTGCTCATCCATGGCTACTCTGGCTTCTGGGGCCACTCTGAGGCCACTATTGGGTGACAGGCAGTGGGGAAGACAGGTGCCTGCAGCCACAGTTACAAAAGGCACAGCCAGCAGTGGAGGCACAGATGGTCGCAGGCACCTCCAAGGGGCAGTGGGACTGTCGTGGTGGGAGCTGCCGCCAGCGGGCAGAATGCCAGGTGGCATCATGTGTGGTCACGTGGCCAGCTCAGGTGTATCTCTGAGCAGTGGAGACGTGGAGGGATCAGACGTGCACTGTTTTGTTTTGTGTCTCGCTGTGCAGCCCAGGCTGGCCTGGAACTCACGGCAGTCCTCCTGCCTGTCTCCTGGGTGCTGGGATGACAGGCACACGTCCCTCGCCCGGCTGACTTCCTTTCCGAAGGACACATAAGGCACACATGGGGGCAGGCGACGGGCACCAGGATTTGCAACACTTTTCATTTGGGTGTTTTGGGTGCCAAAGGCAAAGCCAGGGCCTTGCATGGCGGAGCCCCAAGCGTCACTTTTAGGGACCACTGCTCTGCACCCTCAGTTCTCTGAGCACCCGTGGCAGCAGGCGCGCCCCCTCGCCCGCTCCGCCCCAGTTCGCACCTGAAACTCTGCCAGCTGCCTCTGAAGGGCCTCCTGCTCCGCCTGGGCTCTTTCCAGGGTGCTGCGCAGCTCCCCCAGCTCGAATTCCTTCACTGAGACCAAAGGCGAGAGAGGTGTCAGCCCCTCTCAGCCAAGCCTCCCACTCCCTGCTGTACAGCCCGGGCCAGTCCTTGGGCCAGTTCCTTGGCTTTTTGTGCTGTACTTTTGGTATCTTCAGAGGGTGGTGCAAGGTGCGACCAGTGCCTCCCTCACTCAGGCCAGGGCCGAGCCCATGGCACCCACGAATAGCCACTCAGGGGTATTCGTTCTTTCTTCTGGGAACACAAGGAGATGTGGGTGCGTGGGGAAATGGGGCCGGCACACAGCAGAATAAAGAACCACAGACCCTGGCACCATTCATGTGAGTGAGTGCGGGATCCCGCATCTACACAGCGCCGGCTGGGGGCTGGGAGGAGCACAGGCTTGAAGCCGGCAGCCTGGCCCTACACCTCCGCCAGCTGTGTGAGAGAGAATGAGCTCCAGCTGCTCTGCCCCCTCTAAGTGGCGGGTGCCACTGTGCACCCGCAGCTCCTTCCCCCGAAGGGCGGTGTCACCTGCACGCCAGCCCTGCCTGGCTCCCTGGCCCCAGCTCGCCTGTGCCTAGAGTCATTTCCCATTCTTTCTCCCTTGCTCCTCCTGAAGTAGGGCTCCCACCTGGACCCTGAAACCCTGAGCTCCAAATGGGCCGGGAGCGGGGACCCTGCCACTCACTGTTCAGCAGTTTCCAGATAAATTCTTGCCAGAAGCGCAGGTCGAGGGAGGCAAAGCTCTTCCCTGGAGCCAGAGCCCCAAGCCCAAGCACACTGGCACCCTCGGCTTCCTCCTCTGACTCAGCTGGGTGCAAATCCTGGCTTTCCTCTTCCTCTGGAGGTTCCAGGTGTCTCAGGTACTCGGCCGAGTCCTTCTCGAATTCCCCTGAAGAGCAAAGGGCTTTATGGCAGAGCACAGCCCTCCGAGGGCACGGAATGGGCAGCAAGTGTCAAGCCAGCCTCTGTTGGCTCCACTGTGGGTCTCCAGTGGCGGGCAGAGGATGGGCAAGCCAGGCACCAAGGCCTGGGGACCGAAGCAGCAGGGGGGACTTCTCTCTACAATGAATTAATCAGGCAATAGCATCCCGTCTAGAACTGGGCGCTGAGAGCCAGCAATAGGAGTGAGCTGCCAAGAGGCATTAGAAGCCTGTGGAGAGGTGAAGAGGAGGAGAGGGAGGAGGGAAGCAAAGGGCAGGGGCTGCGTGGTCACCAGGGATGGCTTCCTGGGCTGGTGGCAGTTGAGCCAAGGCCATGTCTGTGCATGGAGAGAGTGCAGAGCGGGGACTGGTTCCTGGGCCCGGAGGATGGGGAGGGAGCGAGGTCAGTGAGGCAAAGTCCCAGCAGACAGGAGGGGCAGGCAGTGGTGAACGCACAGCAGGCGTGGTTAATAACCACAGATGGTGCGCCCCAAAGTGCTGGAGGAGGGGGTTCCCCAGGTTCTGTTCCCCGGGAAACAGCACTGCTTAAGGAGGCAGCGGTGGGGTCGACCCGCAGCTGAGGGGGCTCCGCCCGTGCATCTATGCGGTGTGCACTGCGCCCAGAAACAGCTACGCCCGTTCCGTGTCAATAGGAAGAGAAACCTAAATGGAGCTATCGACCGGGGGCCCCCAATGTTGAGTGAGGCCCACGGGCCCTGGGCCGAGTCCTGAGACTGTGCGGAGACAGAAGGGGCCAGGCTGGGGAGCAGTGCAGTGGCGACGCTGGGGTCCCCAGCAGGACGCAGTCACCTGTGAGGTTGTGCAGGTGCTGCCGGCCGAGCAGGTGCTCCCTCTTGTTGTGCCGGGAGCTGAAGCACTGGTGGCAGGTGCGGCAGTGCAGGTCCCCGTCTCCCGTGCCCTGGGGGTGGGAAGGGGTGCTGGTGAGCAGGAGAGCTGGGGCGCGAACCCCAGAGCACAGCCAGCCCCATGTGAGGCCTTCTGGGCACACCCGAGAACTGCAGTCCCCTCATGGTGTGTGTGTGGGGGAGACTGGCAGGCTTGCGGCAGGAGAGCTCACCTCCATCCTAAACCACAGCGACCTCTGCGACCAGAACGTGTCCTCTGGGCACCAACCCTAGTTGCGTGTGGACACACAGAGTATTTCTGGGTGCGTTTTGCTTACAGCAGATGTCCCTGGGTGTGGGGCTGGACCCGTGGGCTGGGGTGCAGGCCTGCCTGGGAGAGGACCCACCTCTTGCTGAATTGTTTACATATTTTTCTTAGAAAGGTTCTCACTATATTTCCCAGGCTGGCCCCAAACTTAATGATCCTCCTGCCTCAGCTGCCCAGGGCCTGAAATCACAAGTGTTTACCACCATGACCTGCAGCAGATTCTTTGCTTTTTCTTCTTTTTTTGAGACTAGGTCTTGCTGTGTAGTTCAGGCTGGCCTTGAACTCACTATGTAGCCCAGGCTGTTCTCAAACTCATGGTGATTATCCTGCCTCAGCCTCCCAGGGGCTGGGATCACAGGTGTGAGCATGCCTGGCTTCTTTGCATTTTAAATGATGAACAAGTATTATTTTTTTTTTTGTCTTTTTTCCTTTTTATCGGTACCGAGGATCGAACTCACAACTGCCTGCTTACAAGGCTGGTGTTTATGCCGCTGAGCTAAATCCCCAGCCCCACAAGTATTATTTTTAAATGAGACCTCGTTGGTTAAAAAGCATCTGTAACTGTCTACATCTGCAAACCAGTTGTGAAAGTTGCTAGAATGAAGACGGAGCCACTTTTGTAAAGCAGTCACCAAACATAAGTACAAGAAATGGGAAATCAGGAAAGAAGGGACTTCGTGGTTATTATACCCGATGACAAGAGGCCACAAAAGACCCTGCATGGAGGACGCCACAGGGGCCCTCTGTGCACACACAGGGGCTTGGGGGCTATTCCAGATCCGACCGCTGCAGAGCATACGCAGCACCTCAACGCCGCTTCTCCGGGGGTCCTTCTGCTGCCCAGTGTTACAACTATGATGTAGCTCCCAGCCACAGACCAGGTACAGCATGGGGAGGAATCAGCGGCCGCTGCCTTCTCTGTCTGATACCTCCATCCACCACGAGGGGGCGCCACCGTACCATGCATTCTCCCCAGGGAGGACAGGAGGACAGCGCCCCGCGGGACACCGAGGGCCTCCAGGCCTGCAGCCATGCGGGATGGGTAGAGAAGGGCTCAGAGGGTATTCTTTTGGTATATCTGAAGCCCTTTTCTTTTTTTGGTTTCAGACAGAGTCTCACTAAGTCTATGCTGCCCAGGCTGGGCTCAAACTTGTGTGGTCCTCCTGCCTCAGCCTCCCAGAAAGCTGGGGTGTGCTCCCCAAGGCCAGCTTCTATGGACTCTTCACTGACGCCGGCTCAGGATCGCTGCCCTCTGGCAAGAAAGCCTGGTGAGCCCAGCAGCTGGGCTGTGCCCTGGCCAGCGCAGGTCCTGTGCTGTGTGTGTCCCGGCCTGGCACTGCTGCAACCCACCTCCACCCACTTGCGACCCCAAGCGACAGCAGTGTATTCGCCCTCAGTTCTGGAGGCTGGAGCCCCAGATCGGTGTGACTGGGCTGGGGTGCAGGTGTGGGGCCCTCTCCCTGGGGGTCGGGGCAGAGACCAGTCTCTCTGGAGACGCCATTCTGATGGTCTCTGGGGTCACCTGGGCTTCCTCTCTGTGTCCAGTCTGCCTGACACTGATGGCAGTGGGAAGGCCCAGCCCAAGAGCCTTAACTTTATTACCCCCTCAAAGAGGACCCCGTGGCCAAGCCGGGGATGGGGACGGGATACCTTCCAGCCTACCGTGATTGCCTGCCCCAGACACTCACGTCGATGGCTGAGAAGTCCAGCTGCTCGCTCTCTACTGCGTCTCCTGGGGTCCCTGGGCATGGGGGAGACACAAAGGTCATGGGTGAGACCAGAGATTGCCTGGCAGCACCCTCTGGCCACAGCTGTTCCCTCAGGGGTCTTGGCTGCCTGCTCGGCTCCAGACCTGGTGAACACCCCACAAACCACATCTAATGCCTGGCCGGCTGTGGTGTGTGGAGGAGGCAGGAACCAGGTCATTTATCTGGGCAGCAGACTTTGGGGGACACTGTGTTCTATTTTATGGCTTTTTAAGTCTATTCTGATGATCATGATTATGTGTTTACATAGGAAATGTGAAAAAAGTTACCATATCTTAAATGAGGCAGTGACGCATTTTAATTGTTTAAGGCCAGGCAGTGTTCCTTGGAGTGGCCTTTCCTCGTGACATGTCAGTTTTATTTTTGGAACCAGGAATCGAACTCATGACCTGGTGCTTGCCGGGTAGGTCCTCATGCTGCTGAGTTACATCCCTGCTCCTAATGGGACAAGATCACAGTCTACACACAGAGCAAGGAGGGGCCACGGGGCCTCGCTGCAAATGAAGAACTAAGCAGGATGAGGGCACTCAGCTCCCAGGCCAGGCACATCAAGGTGCAGGCCTGGGCAGAGGGTCCACCCCCTGGCCACCGCAGAGGAGGTGAGAGGGCTCAGGTCCTTCTGGGACCCAACCTTACAACTATGACAGTGACAGATGAATGGAGACCAGGTACGGGGGCCTCAGCTATGGCTGACCCATTTGCTGGACCGGTTTCCAGATGATGCCGAGTGGAAACCCACAAGGTACAATGGACCAGGATGTTGCCGCCTCTGACCAACCTGGCCCTTGCATTGTTTTTATTAATGAAACTATTGGCCCCCAGCCACGCTCCTTTGCTTACACAGCATCTGGGGCTGAGGCAGGGTGCTGCCAGCCTGCAGGCTGGTGAGTGCTGCACGGGCACAGGGCTGGGCGCCACCAGCGTGGTCCAGGTAGCTGCATCTGCGGTGGCAGCTGCCCAGAGTATGTGAGAGACGCAGATCCCTGGACCCGGCCCTGAGCAGCGGATTGGAGCCTGCCTGTTAAGGGGCCCCACGGCTGCGTGCATGGTGGAGGAACAGCTGCCCGCTTCCTGAGTGGCCAAGGCCCCTGGCGAGGGCTGTTTCCGGCCCTGGCCGCTGGAGGGAGCCAGACGCCTCCCCTCTCAGGTTCAGGGTGGGCTGAACCCTGGGGAGGAGCAGTGTTCCTCTTGGGCAGCAGGAAGGCGGGTTTTCAAAGGCCGGACTCCAGTGGACATTGAGTGGCTGCTCACAGGGAGGCCGAGACCCGCCCCACTCACCGCAAAGAGCCTCGTGGGCCGCCCGCCTCCGCAGGAAGGCCCGGTAGGCCTCGGAGCTCTGGTAGGCCTGCAGCTCGCGGATGTAGCGCTGTTTATCCTCATCAGCTTGGTAAATGTACCTCTGGAAGAAGTGGACAGAAATTCTGAGACCCGCTTGAGCTGGGGCCTGGTGCTCCCACCCAACCCGCCAGGCGCTCTTTAGGATGTTTCAAGAAGCAGTGCTCAGCTTCCACTTGCACACCCCCAGGGACGAGAGTCGCATCACCTTCCAACAAGTTTTTTCCTTGTTTCAAGAACTCAGAAATCAGAAACTTTCCCTTCCATTCTGCTGGGCCAGGCTGGAGGGCCTCAGGGAAGGCGGTACTGCCAGTTTTTCCTCTGAGGATACTAGACTGGTTTTAAATTAGTGTTTTTCTGGTACTGAGAGTTGAACCCAGGGCCTTCACACTCACTACACCCTCAGCGCTTTTTGTTTAGCCGACTTTATTTAGCTTCTCCCTATGTCACACAGGCTGGGTTCAAATCTGGACCCCTCCAGCCTCAGCCTCCCAGAGTGCTGGGGTTAGTGCCACCACGCTGGCTAAGGACACTGGACTTCCACAGGATTGTCACTCGTGCACACTGGAGCTCTTTACTCCATGCAGGGCCTGGGGCGGGCCCCGTGATACTGAGATGAATCAGACCGAGCCCCAAGTCTGAGGACACTCCCCGAGCTGTCCCAGCCTCCTCCTCCGCCTCCCCTGGTCAAATCCCACTCATCCCTCCACACCTGCCACAGAATAGCCATATCCTGAGAGGCCTCTGTGATGTCTCCAGCCCCTGGCAGACCACAGTTCCTGGTCCCCTGCCCTGGATTGCATGTGTCACCCAGGGACTGGGGCTGAAAGGAGGGCTGTGGCTGCTTCCCAGTTGTAGAGGAGGCCCAGGCTGGCGTCTGGGACACTAGTGGGTAGTGGTCAGTAGACTGAGGGACAGCTAGGGACAGCCAAGGTCCTCCCTGAGAATGCTTGTCGGCCACATGAGATGCATAACAATATTTTATGCACCGGATATTCTGATGTAAATGGTCCTGGAAACCTGGGCTGTGGACACTTCCTAGGCTGCCTCTTCCCTTGGGCCCTTGTCCCACTCCTATAGGGACTGGCGCCAGCCGAGTGGACAGCCAATGGTGGTGTCAGGCAGAGCCCCCAGGCTGGGAACAGGGGCTTCTGAAACTGTGGCAGCAGCCAGAGACCCTGCATCTCCCATGGGAGGCTCTGGGCCTCACTAAGTGACAGCTCCCTGTGCTCCGAGGTCAAAGCCAGCTGTCATCTGTCCCTGCCAGTGGTCTGGAAATGCTAGGGGCTCAAGTCACAGAGACAGCAAGACGAACCGTCCCCACCTGGCGCTGACCACAGCAGCCAGGCTTGACGTGTTTCATATTTAGTGTGTGCTCAGGTGACCCATGTTGTCAATGTGCACACGTGACCCTGAGCGTGTGTATATGTAACTCTGTGTGCCTGACCCCTCACCCACAATGAGCGTTTTTGCAGCAGGAAGGCAAACCGTGAGTTTATGCCCAACACAAGCGGTAACTGAGGAGATAAAAGGAGCCCATATCAGGGCCCTGTGGGTGACGCCTAGGAATGCGGCTGAGGGAGGGAGCGGGATGGGGGAAGGCGCAGACTTTGGGATCCGATATCTTTGTAAAGAGTCCTGGAAGGCTTCCAGGAGGAGGTGACACTGGGCCAGGCAGGGCTTGATCTGAAGGGGGATTGCCAGAAGGGAGGGGCGGCAGAAGTGACAGTGGTGCTAAAGGGCTTTGCATCCCCCAAGTTGACATTTGCTTCCCATGGCCCCAGCACACACTTCCGGGCGGGGCGGGGACACCAGGTGGCCTCTGACTGCTCACCCTTGCTCACACTCACGCTCATGCTCTATGCACGGGGCTCTGTCTCCTGGCCCTGTGTCACTCAGGACACCGCACTGCATCTCCTCACTCCCAGCTGTGTCCCCAGCGGCTAGCAGGCACACACCAAGCACCCACGAATATTCGAACAAAACTGAACAAGTGACTCCAAGTGAACAAAACTGTACCAAGCCTTGCGGGGGGGGGGGGGGGGGAGAGCGAGTCCCCTTTGCTCTGTCCCGGAACTCCTGCATGGATCAGACAACTCACTACATTCCAGGGATGCCTCAGGCTGTTGGGAGGCTACAAAAGCCATGGGAGCTGGGTGTGTGGGGCGCACCTGTAATCCCAGCACTGAGAGAAGCTGGGGCAGGAGGATCGAAAGTACAGCCAACCTGACACTCAGGACTCAGTGAGACACCGACTCAACAATGGGGCTGGAGATGCAGCTCAATGTGGAGGCCCTGGGTTCAGTTCCCGATACTTAAAAAATAAAAAGTAAAAAGCAAGAGGAACCAGTCAGTGCTCAGAGGGGTAGGAGAGGGGCACCTGGCACCTGCAGTCTGGAGAGACCCCCGCCCTCAGGGTGGACACAGGGACTGGAAGCCACAGGCCCCGCTTGAGGCTGCAGCAGCCAGGCCTTTGCAGACAGGGACCCTCTGCACACTGGGGAGAAAAGGACTCACTTGCTTCCTCTCCTGAGGCAGCTGTGCCCACTGGGTGGCCAGCAGTTTCGTTATTTCCGTGAAAGGCAGGTCAGGGTGTTCGGCCTGCAGCTGGCTTCTCTGCTCATTTAGGAAAATCACGTACCTGCGCAGGAAAGAAAGATACAGCCACTGGGAGGGGTCAGCGGGTCTGGACACTGGGTCCACTGTCTAGTTTGTCTGCGTTTTCAGTCTAGCACAAGGGAGGTCAGATCTAGGGAGGATGGCACTCATGCGGCTGCCTCACCCAGAGCCTGATGAAAGCCCAAGAGCCCAGGGGGTGCTGCAGGGGACAGGGAGGCCTGGTATGACAGGGGACAGTTTCAGAGCCCATGTTGTCTTCCATGGGCAAGTTGTTTAGCCCACACAAGCCTCAGTTTCTTCCTCTGTAGCATGGGCACAATGCCATCTGCTCGCAGCCTAGTCCTCCAGGTGCGGGTCTGCCACCCTCGTGAGCAAGGAGACAGAGAGAGGTGGGGACCACACCAGTCTCAGACCGGAAGGCCCACCCCTGGGTGGCACAGGAACCCAGGAAGTGCAGAACTGGGTGTGCACTGAGGCAAAGAGAAACAGGCTTCCAGAGCAGGAAGGGGACTCTCGGGGCGGTGACAGCAGCTGTCCAGAGCCTCACTGCTGCAGCACAAGATGCAGAGGATGAGGAACCGGCAAGGCACAAAGATCTTGGGGTGCTGGGAAGGGGGTGGGACCTTGCTGAAGGTCAATCGGCTTGCCACAGCCATGGGGCACCTGTGCTGCAACCCCAGAGTGGAGACCAGTGACCCAGGCCCAGACCCACTGACCCCGAGCTCCCCACCCTTCCATCTGTGACCCGGGTCCAGCCCTTCCGGTTCCAGCACCAGCTCGATCCAAAGCTGGAACATCAGCCCACCTATGTGTCCCTCCAGATGAGCAGCCCTAAAGAAACAGGATGTGAGAGAACTCCGCCCAGGCTACACCGTGAGCCCTGGCTGTGACCTGCACTTTGGTCAGCAGCCTCTTCCCACACCTCACCCTGTCGTGGGTGCTCGGGGCACAGACAGGTCCCTGGAGGGCTTCCTCTTCTTGCCTTTTGGCCACCCTCCTTTCCGTTTCTGAAACACAGCCACAGAGAAAGACCTCAGGTCATGACCAGCACTTGGCATGCTCTCATTGTCACCTATGACAATGAGAGTTTAGTGACAGGGTCCTCTGCACAGTGGTGGCTGCACCGAAGTCCTCTGCAGGACTCTGCTCTACATAGAGCAAGAGTGAGCACCTCCTAGAGGGGAAACTGAGGCACAGAGATGAAACAGCTGCTCAGCATCACCCAGCAAGTGTGGGAGTCAGGACTTTGCTTCCTGTCCAAGTGGCACAATGGTCACCATGCACAGACAAGAAACTGATCACGGGGTAAATCATTTGGGTCACAGTAGGTCAGGACCCAGCCTTGGCAGAGGGGTACAGGGGCACAGGGGGCAAGGAGCCGACAGCTGAGCTTCAGCAATGCTCACCTAGGGTCTATGTATCAGCCCTGCCACTTACCTGCACCGTGCCATTCTGCAAATTAGTAACAGCTCAGTGCCTCAGTTTCCCCATTTGCACAGAGGATCATGGCTATCCCTACCTCACCGGTACAATGAGGGTGAACTGTGGTATTAGTCACACAGTCCTGAGATCAGAGAAGGGAAACCCTCTCTGAGTGCAGGCTGTCACATGACACAGAATCCTCTCCCAGGAAGGCCAGTGGGCAGGCAGGACACCAGGTCCCAGCCCCAACTTGCCCAGGCAGGTGACAGGAGCCTCACTACAGTAGGGGCCCTTGCCGTGCTCCGGGCCCACAGGCTGAATGAGCACAGGTCCAGCTTCCATCTAATGGAGGAGGCCCGAGCTACACAAAGAACTGCACCCCATCACTTACTGCAGGGCTCCAGGCCCTGGGTTGCCAGACTGAGTCCCCTGTTCTCAGAGCCCAGCCTAGATTTCCCTAACCAAGTACCCTCTGTGCCCCAAATGGTGGAGAGTAATCAAACGGCGGCCTAACACTCTCTGTCGCCATGGACAGCTTCCTCTGAGTTTCTGGGCTCATGCCCAGCCACACCTACCTTGGCCTTGCCCAGGCTGAAAATGCAGAGCAAGCCACTGCCAGGCTGGATGTGCCAGGGCTGGAAGTACAGAGGCGGCCAGGCCATGCTGGTCTGGGCAGCAGGGAGCATCTGGGCTCAGGTAGCAGCAGGGCAGAGCTTGGGCCGGCCAGAGGCACATAGCCAGGTGGTGACCACATGTGTTAAGGAGATAAGGCTGGGGAGGCACCAGACTCTGAGCACATGACCAGTGCTCCATGAGGGCCACTGCCACTCACTCCAAAGCCAAGATGGTGCTGATTAGCAGCGCTGACGAGGAAGGCAGTGCAGAACGGCCTTCAGCACCATGGACAGCCCCCGGCCCCTGCCGGCCCTGATCTCCTCTGGTGACTACTGACAAGTCTCCACGTGTGTGGTCACCTGGGGCTTTAACACATGCACATCCTGGACCTGACCCTCCTGTTCCCCACTTGAAGCAAATGCCATGTTGCAGGAAATCACTTGGATGATGTGATGGAGACCCTGACAGGCATGGCCAGGCCCTGAGCCCACAGCATGATCACAGCTTCCATTAGACCTGGTGCCTCCACCCACAGCCTGGGCACAAGCGGCACCCAGATCATGCAGTCACCTTGTCCTCTTCATTTTAACGCCCCACAGCCTGCTAACATCCATCAGACATCGAAACGAATGGGCTGATCACTGCACGGCCATCCCGGGCCCTCGTGTCAGTCTTTTCACGAAGAAAGTCCTTCCCAAGAGTTTCTGAGTTTCCCCAGAAACCTCGGTGACTGACACAAAAGCCCCAGGAGGCTCAGGGATCTTTTTCCGAGAAGCTCTCATTCTTGCTGAACGTCTCAGCGGGCTTTTAGGAAACTGCCTCTGCCCCGAGCCCAGCCAGGCAGCAGACGTGGGCTCAGCTCAGAGCAGGGTCACACGTAGGCAGCACAGCCACGCACTCCGCACATTGGCTGGGAAAGAAAGGGTGACAGAGGGCTTGCTGAGCAGGAAGGATGGGTTTTCATAAGCGTGGGGCCTGTGGCACAGCAGAAAATCCACCGACGGGCAAAATTCAAGGGGGCGAACTCTGTGCCCATGGGATTTTCCACCAGTGGGCACCTGCGACTCTCCGCCCTCAGCTAGCGGCGCGTTTAGGGTCCTGGCTCTATGCACGGGACTTTGTTTCATAAGGAAGGGAAGGCAGCGGGGCTCAGGTGAGGGCACAGCTCGGCCCAGGCCGGCCACGGGTGACTGTCAGCCCCTTCATCTCTGTGGCTCCCAAACGAGAAACAGCAAAAGGCAGCAGTGGGTGAGTTGCTGGCTCCTGTAACGGGCCGGGCACAGAGCAGGTGCCCAGCACAGCGCGGCCTCCCTTCTGCTTCAGGAAGGAGCAGGATGCAGGCAGGAAACAAACAATGGGGCTCTGCAGGCACCAGAGTCAGGCTCAAAGGCAGCAGTCCGTGCAGTGCAGATGTCACCCACCGGGGACCCAAACTCCAGCCCAAGGTCTCTGCACATTTCACCAAGTGCCTTAGCAACGTCCAGGGCTGCTATTTCTAGTCCAGGGTGCATGGTCCTCCCCACTCACTGTTTTGCAGTACTAAAGATGGCACCCAAGACATTCACTGAGCTAAATACACACACACACACACACACACACACACACACACACACACTCTTTATTTTGAGACAGTCTTGCTAAATCACTAAATTCCTCAGGCTGAGATCCAACCTGCAACCCTCCTGCCTCAGCTTCCCAACATGCTGGGGTTCCAGGGCTCTGTGGGGACAGGGAGGTATATATTATGAGCTGACACTCATCCCTCTCCGTCCCAGGCATCAGGAGAACTGCTGATGGCTGGGCTCTGCCTTTAGATATCACAGCCCTAACTTGAGTTAGGATTCAAGTGAATTTATTTCTGAATGAAGCTGACACGGCTTTGGGCTGAACTGCATCTTCTGGAATTCACACGAGGCAGCCCTAATCTCAGTGACTGCACGGCTTCTCCGGTCTTCGGGAGTTAAATGACGTCACAAGGGGAGGGCCCTAACCCTGTCCATAGGGTTGTGGCCTTCCAGGACCCCTTCTCTCTCTCCATGCTGTGAGAAGACACCGCGAGAAGGCAGCTAACTGTCTGAGAGCCAGGACCTGACCCCCCTGGCCCTGGCCCCTCCCAGCTGCAGGACTGTTTCCTGGCCGCTTTCCAGTCCTCTCACAGCGTCCTCAGCAGCTGCCTTCCCAGCCCTGGGCCAGGGCCAGGGCCTTTCCGTTCTCTGGGTGCCCTCTGTATCCCTGGTGGGAGCGGGGATGACAGCACTGACTCCCCGGGCGAGAGTGTCAGAAGAGACACAGGAAATGTGAACCTCATGCCCGCTGGTCTCATGCAGCACGGCCCGAGCCCCTAGGTGCCACACTTGCCTTGGGCTCCTCTGTGTCCTGCTCCTTTGTGTCTCCTGGGTCGGCCATCGTGTCTGGCTGCACGGGCAGAGAGGCCAGGTTACGGCTGTGGGTCCAGATCACAGAGCTCCCTCGGAACAGGTCACCTGCACTGCCAGGAGGCAGGAAGAGGGGCTCTGCGGGCAGTGAGACAGCAGGGAACAGCCCCATGAGGTGGATGACATGGGGTCCCCAACACCTCGGAGTCTGTTAGTGTGGGTGTAGGGCTGGGTGGCACCTGTATTTCAGATGCTCACATGAGATAGCAAGCGAATCCTAAAATCTGATGGCCACAGATCTGGACACGAGTGACTGTGAAGTGCAAAGGGACAAACAGGTGCTGTCAGACCTGACACAGCCTTCTTCTTCCAGGCAGGGCATCCTAGGTAAAGTGTGGGCTCCAGACCCTGAACCCCCAGCCCCACAAGTCAGCAGCACATCTTTAGCGACCTTGGATTCCTCTCTGATACAACGGGGTGCATCGCAGACCTCCTTCCCTCCGGGGGTACGCAAGGCCTGTGCTCGCCACGTGGATTTGCAGAGTGCCTGCCCCATGCCAGGCCTGGGGACATCAGCACGCAGAGTAAGCCCTGGGCCCCCGTTTACATTCCAGGGCACACGAGGGATTCAGTAAAAACAGACTCGGCTCTGGGCAGTGGGAACTCGGTAAACGTTAGCTGTTATTCCAGAGACATTTCCCATGGGCCAGTCTGAGGCTTCCTGTCACTTGAAATGTCAAGAGTTGACTGCGATCTGGTCCCCAAGCCCAGGAAGGAAGTGGGCAGGGATTATGATCTCACCCTACACAGGGGAGGAGGGAGGTGGCAAGTGGATGGTGGTAGGGCTCACCCACCAGCTACCTGTGATTTATCGTGTGCACACACACACATGCACATGCACAGCTGTACATGTATGCACATGTGTAAATGGGGATATCACATTGCAGGGAAGCAGGACCAGTTTGCATGGGGGTTTGTAACCCAGAAGGTCCCTGCTGGCTCATTTCCTGCTCAGGTTGGGCCGTGTCACCCCACCTTCCTCCCAGGGATCCTGCTTTGGGGCCCACAGGTGGGGGCCCCACCATCTCCTTTTCAGCTGCATCATCCTTAGGCACCAAGCCCAAGTGCCCCAGACTGGCACCTGAGGCTCTGGGGAGCCAGGCTTCCTCCAAGCCACACGCCCTGCTCTGGAAGGAGGATGATCAGCATGGACAATGACCACATCCTGTTCACACCTTGTGCCAGTCAATCTTCACCTTAACCCTTATCACTATGGAAACATCCAAAATCCTTCTGCAGAGCCCAGTGCCTTCCCCCGTGCCCATGGCAGGGCAGGGGCAGAGGGGGCCCTGCACTTTGAGCCAGGAGGTAGCTGGGGAAACGGCTGGGAAAGAAGGGGAGGTGAGCCACCTTGGAGCACTATCTGGGTGAGAGCCGAGGCATCCGGTAACCACGGAAACAGCTGGGAAAGAGGAGGGCAGGCCTGAGTCTCCAGCCTCAGCCTCGTTCTGGGGCTGGACCCACCCTCTGAGGCAGACGTTAGCCTGGCGCTGAACACCAGGGCCACAGCATGGGAAAGGTGGCTAGCTAACTTAGCTCACACGGGCTGTGTCTGGTGCTGCCCAGGGGTCACCTGAGACCCTGGAGGACATCAACCCTACCCACCATGCCACTGGCTGTGCAGATCTGACCCAGGGGGCTTTGGATGCTGTGACAATTCTGCCAAGGGCCATAAAAGTCAAAAACACCTCCTGGCAGAGGCTGAGTCAAGCCGCTCCCTGGTGGGGGTCAACCTCAGACCAAACCCCAAAAACCTGAGCTGGGTTGTCAGGTATCAATCCTGAGCTGGCCAGCTGGGAGTGGGTCCTCTTTTTTCTTTCAAATAAATCATTGACCCTACTGCCACTCTTGGGTGTCCTGCCAATCCTTTGTTTTGGACATCAGTGTTAGCTGCTATTCCAGAGGTGTTTCTGATGGGCAAGTCTGTGGCTTTCTGTCACTTGAACTTTGACAAGACCCTGAAGCAGTAACACACTGACATCTCCCTGGCAGCTCTTGAGGAGACGGAACCCCCTCCAACCAGTGCAGCCAGGACCCTCGCCCCCAGGGAACTGCCCCTGGCTTGCTTTTTACACAGCAGCCAGACATAAGCAGAAAGGTACCAAGCCCCTGAGAGGGGCCACAGAAGAGCCAGTGGGCACAAGGAGGGAGGGGGTGGCAGGGAACTCGGTTAGTACTGAGTGTAAGCTCCAGAAGCAGAGCTACAGCAACTGCCTTGCCTGACACTCCTGTTTTCAGTATGGGTAGGAGGAGGCTCAGGGATGCTGGATGACCCGCCCAAGACTACCCCAGACTGGGGGTGTCTGCCCAGGGACCCAGGCCCTAGAGACCACTGGACAGTGTGGTGGCCACATCTATAACTCCTATCTCCTGATTTGAAGCTATGGCCAGCTATGTCATCTGTCCGTGCCTCAGTTTCTCCTCTGTGAGGTGGGGCTATTAAGAGGAGGTCACTGAGGACTGGCTAGCTTATCGCAAGGCCTGGCCCCAGGGGAACTCTAGCACCACGATGTATCTCCAGCCCTTTCTACATTCTGAGTCAGGGTCACACTAAGTTGTCCTGGTGGGCCTGGAACTCAGATCCTCCTGCCTCAGCCTCCCGAGTGGCTATGAATAATGTAGAGCACCAACGCAAGGGACAACTGCTGTCACTCCATCCTGGAACAGGAGAAAACTGTGATCTCAAACCAACGGCCAAGGCCTCTGGCCCTCTCACTATAGCCTCAAGCAAATTCTAGGATTTCCATCATCCTCCAGCGCGTGGCACAGTGGTTTCTGCACAGAGAACGCTCTGGACAGAAGGCCAGACCCCGCCAGCTCAATTCCAGCATCTGCACCACTCGCACTGAGACTGACACAGCCACCGCGGGGGTTCAAATCCTGCTTGCGCCACTCGTGGGGGTGGGGTTGGGGTCAAGCAACTAAACATCTCGGTCCCCGCTGGGACTGGGCAGTGGTGCTGCTCGGGACGGGTGGAGACCGGTGAACACGGGGGTGCAAGGAACCCCGCGCGGCCAGGGAGGAGACCACGATGTCGCGTCTCCAGGGTGCGCACCAGGCACCTGCGCCTGGCCACACACGCAGTGACCTGGCTGGACGCAGGCCCGAATCAGTGCCAGGGCCTGGGACCCCTTCCATCCCCGGGAGTGCGCACCCCCGCCGAGCGACCCCGGCCCGGGACCACCCCCCCACCCCCAGCGAGGCACGCGACAGGGGGCGGGGACGCAAGTCCAGCCACTGACCCGCAGCCTGGCCGCCGTCCCTCTGCATGGCGCCCGCCCGCCGGCCACCGCTCCGCCGGGGACTGTGGGCGGGACCCGCCTGCGGGGAAGCCGAAGCCAGCTGTGGTCCCGGGGCTCCGGCTCCCGCTGCTGCGGACCGGGTCGCAGGCGCCCGGCGGGGTGCGGGCCGCGCTCCGGGCTCCGGGCTCCGGGATTTGCGAGTAGCCGGGCCTGGGCGGGGCACGGAAGGGGGCGGGTCCAGGAGTGGGCGTGTCTAACAGGAAGCCCCGCCCCGTCCGGGTGCTCCTGGAGCCCATCCCTGCCCCCTGCCGCGCAGTTACATAAGGTGCCAGAGCGTGGTAGAAGGAGCCTTCTACTCTAAATTATTCAAGCGTCTTTTTGTATTTTCAGACTCCACAGGAACACCAGTGCTACACGGCCATTGTGAAATTCGAAGATTCAGAGCAGCCTTTCTAGGATCCTAAGACAGACACCTGCTAACTCTTTGGCATGCCTCCTCCCTGGATCTTAAAAGAAATTAAAGATAAAATGTAAATGATAACGAATAAAATATTTACAAATAGTGGCGAACGCCACCTCCCTTCCCACCGCAGTGCATCCAGGCGTGCACATTAGCTCTCTACCTGTGCAGGTGACCCAAGGCAGTCCTGGGTTCATCCTTCTGCCTTTGCTAGGTGACCTTGGGCTGGATGCCTCGCATTTCTGAGCCTCAGCCTTGTCGTCTGCCAGGTGGGGATAATAAGAATGCGTTTTAGACGCTCCGCCGCCGGGATTTAATGAGTTAGTACTTCAGCGGGAAGTGAGCTGCTGTTACCCAGGTCTGGTGCGTGCATCAAGGGTAGGCGCACTAATTACGGAGTCACATCTTTGGCCACTTCATACCAGAAGCCCTGACCCTATCCCGTTCTCTTTTTTGTAACCAACTCCCAAACTCCGCAAATGGTTCTCCAGTTGCCTTCTCTGAAGCATGAAGGTGATGTTTACAGCCCCTGCCTCCGGGGATCTTTGGGGATTAAATGAGGCTGTTTCCTGAGGTTGAATGCATGACGGTGCTTGTAACTGGTCCAGCCACTGTGTGTTGCTTGGCCTACAAGGACTTAAACAGCTGCCTTAAGCAGTGACAAAAGAGCCCAGAGGGGAGGGACAGGGACTGAGGCTCGCCCTGCAGACCTCCTCCTACCTCCCCCAGGCAGCCCCCTCATTCTGTCCAGGTAAGTGTAGCGAATACATGTTGAGAGCCACTGCCTTACAAAAATGAGGGAAAAGCATTCCCTGAAAGCAGGTCCTTGAGACTAGCTCAGAAGTTCACAAAACAGTCAGCAAGACTCGTTTTTCTCACATTAGACCACAGGAAAGCCATTGGAGTGCAACCTGTGGGGCGTTGACATGGTCATGGACAGATGGATGAGCGGTGTCTTACTTTTCCCTCTCCTTACTGAGACAAAATACCTGACGTCCAAAGTTAGGGAAGGGAAGGTTTACTTCTTACACATTGGAGGTTTCAGTCCATATTCAGTTGGCTCCAAGCAGCAGGGTGGCATTGTAAGCCGTTGTAAACAGCAAGCACCAACAGGGAAAGAGTGAGACATGCCTTCTTCCCCACCATTACATTATATGCTGGCTCCACCCCTGGGCAGGTGTAGCATTCACACCACCTGTCTGAGTGCTAGACAATGAACCAATCACAAACGCTAAATTCAGCCGAGTCCAGGATTGCTTGAGACTTGCGGGGTGTGTGTGTGTGTGTGTGTGTGTGACTGACATAAACTATGACAAGTGAGCTTAGTAATGGCACCAAAATCGAATCTAGAATGTGCATTAGGTTTATTTAAGGCAAATATTATTGCCCAGCTCAGTGAACAAATAGTAATTGGCTGATCATCTGAAAAAGAGGAACAATGAGCTCAAGTCTTACTCCAAATACAAAAGCAGATTCTAGGGAAAGGCCTAAATGTAATAAATAACAAACATCTTGGGCTGGGGATTTAGCTCAGCAGCATAAGCACCTGCCTTGCAAGCAGGCGGTTGTGAGTTCGATCCCTGGTACTGATTAAAAAAAAAAAAAAAATCTTGCAAGTAGGCCTTGGGATTCCAGCAGTATAACCAGCTGGGACTGCCCAGCAGAAACACCCTCTGAGAGTAAAATATGCAGGTGAGGGTTATTGACAAGGAATTTAAAATCTGCTAAACTCACAAGGAAATCCAAGGAATTACTCAAGGACTGCACCTCTCCACAGATCGAGGGACCAGCACCAAGCACAGCAGCCACTGCAGGAAACACTGAGTCAACCAGACGCAGTAGGGATGTGAGTAGGAGGGCCAGTGGCAAACCTGTCTTGTTCAGTGACACCGCATCTGCCTGGAAAGCTTGAGGTTCTGAGTTCAATTCCACTGCTTCTGGGTCAAAAAAAAAAAAAAAACCCATAAAAATATGACATAGTCATTTCCTAAGCATTTGTAGCCAGGAGACTGTTTCAATGTGTCTAAGTTCCAAATCTATACCTGCCTCCTCCAAGGCCAAGAAAGATCACCCAGGATACTAGTTAGACTAGTTATAGGCTAGGAGTTCCCCCAGGAGACACAGAAGCAGCAAATCCAACGTGCTCTGAAGAAAAACATCCTACTCTGTCCGTTCTCTCTCTCTCTCTCTCTCTCTCTCTCTCTCTCTCTCTTTCTCTCTCTCTCAATGTAAGCTAGAGTCAGCAGAAAAACAATGTATTTAGATGTAAGTATTTCTGTTAGTAGACATGTACATGTTTCAGAGGGTAAAACTAATAAACTATAAACATATTTGTGGGGAAGGTATCGTGAGACAAGGTCTCACTACATAGTTCAGGCTGGCCTCAAACTCATAGTGACCCTCCTGCCTCAACCTCCCAGTTGCTGAGATTACAGGAATGTGCCACCACGCCCAGCTATAAAATGTTTTTTAAAATTGAAAATGGAGCAAAAAAGAGTAGAAAGATGCCAGACTCCCAATGAGTGTGAGGCCAGGCTGGGTTACAAGGTGAGTTCAAGGCCAGCCTGGATTCCATAATGAATCCATCCCCACCACCCCTGCAAATTAAAGAGTACAGAGAACAAAGTAAAACATGACCAGGAAATCTGGAAGAGAACCACATAGATTGTAATAAGAATATCACACTTGAAATAAAGCCTTCCACTGATAGGTTGACCTCTGTATTAGTCAAAACAGAAAATCAATTAGTGCAGTGAACTGTGAGACAGAAGTAAAGGTAATTGTAGAATGCGACTCAGAGTGGGAAGGGAAGAGGTTTGGAGACGGTTGTGATACAGACAAGAGGGTGGTATCTGTCTCGCTGCTGTCCCAGCAGATTAAAATGAGAAAACAGAGGACAGGCCATGTGTGAAGAGTCGCTGGCCAAGTACTTTTCATGGCTGCTCAAAGATGGCGTGTTTCAGTTACAGCTAGAGGATGCGGAGGGGACCTGGCTGGGACATCTGTCACCCCACTGGTCACCAGGGTTGATTCGGCTGATCTTGCTGTAGGCGGGTGTCCCCTACCTCCCTCAGTGATCCATGTGCATCCCTCCCAAGCTGCGCGCTCGGTCTAAGAAGATGACCACTCCGGTAGAGGAGGACCGGCCCTCAGTCAGGGGTATACAGCAGCTGGGCTCTCCTGCTAGAACCCCCACACAAGCTCCCGGGTCTGGGTGCAACAATATCCATGAAGCTGTGTAAATAAAAACTCTACATATAAATCTAGCAGATTCAATTGTAAGACATCAAAGAGAAATCTTAGAAATTGCAACAAAATAGAAGAAAATACAGTGTTTTACAAAAAAATGAAAGTGACTGTACAGCATTTTTTTTTTTTTTTTTTGGTCTTTCCTTTAGCTCAGCGGCATAAGCGCCTGCCTTGCAAGCAGGCAGCCGTGAGTTTGATCCCCGGTACCAATAAAAAAGGAAAAAGACCGTACAGCATTTTATCAGTTCAGAGAAACACTTTCCCCACAGCTCGGCATGTCTGGGTGGGGATGATCTCCCTCCCTGCGGAGTCTCTAATTCTGCTGGGCAGAGTTCTTCCTCCGGCCTGGGAAGCAGGAGTGCTGGGCCCTGCATTCACAGACCCCTGGGTGTAGGGGGCGGAGGGGGATGAATGCGGGGTCCCTGGCCGGAGGCCCTGGGAAACCAAAGGCAGAGCAAAAAGTGTTACTCGAGCTGGGAGGACATAAGAACAGAGCTGAGCTTTTTGCTTCTGCCCATGAGAAGTGGCCAACTGTATTTAAACAGTTATTTTCTGATGCCGGACAGCAGACAGAGCAGGGCGGGGGCGCAGGAGAGAAGACGGCGTCTGCTGGAGCCACTTTCTCAGCTGTGCTCAGGCGAAGGAAGCAGCTCGGGGCGAGTTTCCTGGGTCCTGGCAAAGAAGGCCACGAGGGAGAAAAAAATTGAAGAATCGTCGAATCCCTGCGCATTTGGAGGACTCTGTGGCTTCAGTCACCCAGAGCGGGAAGACCTGCTCTTGGTAGAAATTGCAGGATGGGCCAGGTGTACGGGTGCACGTCTGTAATCCCAGCATCGAGGGAAGCTGAGGCAGGAGGATCCGAGTTCAAGCATACCTGGGCAACTTGTCTCAAATTTGAAAAAAGGAAATTAAAAGGAGGCTAGAGGGGGCTGGGGATGTAGCGGCACATTCCTGGGTTTGATCCACACACACACAAAAATAAATAAAAATGACTTACTTTTTACATATAACCACCTGGCAAGTCCTAGAATGGAGAAACAAGAAAAAAAAAAAAAAAAAAAAAAAAAAGAGAAAAGAAACATGACAAAAAAAGATGCTAGGGATGTGGGGTGGGTGCTCAGGAAGAGAAACAGGAAGTGAGGGGCCAGAGGAAACTTTCCGGGGTCACAGCTGGGGGGACAGTTGTGCAGGTGTGGACACATGCTAAAACATATCTGTGTTTCATGGCTGTGCAGTTTATTCTGAAAGGGAAAAGCTGCACGAGGGAAATTGTTCTTTTTAAAACTTTGCATGTTTTGAAGCTGCCTAGCTCTGTAACTGCTCCAGGGATCCTGGAATCACTTTGTTGATCTCTGTAACTGTGAAAGTGTAACCAAACACTCGGGATGTCTGATTCTATCTGATGATCATTGATCCAGCCTTGTAACCGATGGTCTCACCGTGTTAGCTGGTCACAAAAACAGCCAGGCTGTCCATCTCACATTTGTACCTCCTGCTTATG